TAATTAATTTTTTTAATAAAATTAGTTTTTTAAAACATTAAACTTAGATCTTATAATTTTTTTAAATAATAAAATTTATACCTAAAAATTGAGTTACAAAACAATCTTAGTGGATACCAGCCTTGCCTTGTAATGTCACTGTTTTTCTAACAAACTACACTTTTTAAAAACTACTTGTTTACACCTAAAACAAAATTAATTGGGTGAGGCCATGCATCAGGTTTAGGCCCGGCTATTAAGGAGAGTCAACAGACTGAATTAGGTTGGGTCAACTTAAAATTTTATAACCTAGACGAAATTTAGCTGGGCTCATGTGGCAGAAGATAAGGTGGTTTATTTAGTGGTTTTTAGGAGAAGATTACTATTAGGGTTTTATTAGAATTAAAATTGGATTAAAATTCTCAGTTGCTAGACAAAAGAAAATTGACTCAAACGTGGAGCACCCACTATCTGTTTATGGTGGGGGGGCCGAAAATCATGGAGGAAGGTTCCCAGCATCGAAGAAAAGGAAAACATAAGGAAAAAATCAGTTCTACATGGCCTGCCCTATAGAAAACCACCCAACATGTATACTTTTCCAATTTTCAAACTGTTTCTTCTAGATTTTAGCATAATTTTCAAATTATAATGCAAGATTTGTTCTTGTTCATAGTTTTAGTTTAGGTTTTTCCCATATTTGTTCGTATTTTCTCTCAAATATCATGACTTTGATTAGTTTTTAAGGATTTGGAAGCAATCAGCATTAAAAATGGGTTTGCCCCATTGATTTGGTTGGTTTTTCCTTTTTTTTTTTATGGATTCATTTTTGTCATTTGTTTATGTAAAGAGGTTAAATGCTTTCTACCTTCTTTTCTCTGTTTCTACGCAACTGTCAGACTTGCAGCTTGTTGGATTTTAATTTCTAGATTAAAATTTAATTTTACAAGTTTCCAAACTTTGATCATTTCATATATTCTCCTTCAGTTTTAGCAATCAAGTAGTTCAATTAATTTTATTTTAGTTCTGTGAATAACTAGTTTAATCATTATACATCGTAAAGTTAAAATCAGTGCTTGTAATCTTATACAGTCTGTTGTTTGTGAGTTTATTTTCATGATATGTTATTTTCTTTTATTAATTTTATGTTAAGTTAATTAATTTAGGATATTGCATTTAATTTAGGATTTGTAACTTTTGTTACACTTGAGTGGCTGTAAAATTCTTGGAGGTGTTTAAGGCAATTAGTAACCCATTTTGTAAAACTCCATCATCTACTTTGCAATGTCATCTGGGGCATAATTTATTTCATAAACATTCTTTTTAACCATCATTTTGGAGGTCGACAATTAAAAAAAAAAAATTGTTTGAAAATTTTTATTTTTTTGGACAAAACAAATAACACATCTTATACCTAAACTCACATAATTAAAGCTAGCTAAGTATTTTTGAGAATACACTCTTATAGAAAGAAAATAAGGTCAAAATCCATTCAACCTTAATTGAATAAGTGACAAATACAAACAGTAGCACTTTCACCGACCTCATAGACCTATAGCTTAGTAATGTCACTGCTTCTGCAGACATAAATTAGCGGACAGGTCAATTTCGTTCTCTTACTTTTCTTTTCCCTTT